ATTTGTCGCGGTTTTGGCCTTCTAAAAAAATACCCCCATGGGCCTACTTTCTCTATTATTATGCGGCATGAAAAGAAAGAGAAGGCAGTGTTCTGACAAACCCATCTCCAAGACAGGCACCATTCATGTGGTAGGAAGACATCTCTCTGGATGTGCAAATGTGAGGCGCGTCCGAAAAGGGAACAACAAGAATGCTTGGGGCTGATCACGTTGCCAAGTGTTCGGAGTATGTAGAAGCTGCGGCAATGCGAGCTGGCTCAAACAGGTCATTGACTGCTGGCAGAGCCGACCTAGCGGCGCCACAAGAACAAACCACTGCTTTTTACCAATGTCTTGACCTGTTTCATTGTGCTTACTTTGCGTCCTGATCACTGTGGTATGTCAATGCAGTGCTTCCACCTCTCTGTGACTCCATTTCTGTGTCTTTGTCTCTCCTCTACTTTCCTTTGTGTGTTTCTAGCTCCTTTGTGTCTCGTCTGTGCTCTCTCTATGTCTCCTCTGTCTCCTCTGTGTCTTCTCTGTCTCCTTTTGTCTCAAAGAGTTGAAACGTGGCAATCAGGAATCAGCAAAGCATGTCTTGCACCTGTCACAAAGGCGATCTCTGTCAAGAAGCCGTTTCTGGCGCTTCACCTTCCAACCGATCTTAAAAAGGTTCTTGTTTCTTGCCGTCTGGCTCAGTGATATCACGCCAATCATCGATCCCATCCTCAAAGGCAAACCAATTGCTTCGCCCATCATAAACGGGTACTTGGTGGTCACTTGCTGGAAAGCTGAAAGTCGGTGAAATTCTGGAAGATGGTCGGTGATTCGTCACATAAGATTCTTTATGTTGAAGGAATGCTAGGCTTTTTTGCACTGCACTTGATTCACTTTGCTTCTTACATGTGGTTTCACCTGTGGAACCTTTTTGCACTTGACAGGACACTCTTTCTTGCACGTTTGACCTGCTGGAAGCTTCTTGTCCTTGGTTTGCCTGCAAAACAAGCGAGGACACAAAGTTCTCCTCTCCAGACATAGATACATGCATGTGAAACGTGAAACGGACAGGCACCTGGATGTGTAACATTATGCGTTTCACGACCGTGTTACACAAACCAATTTTCGGCCGTTTTGTTTGTTTTTTCAACCTGTTGCAACAGGATGTTTGGTGGTGTTCATGACATCTGCGAGCATGCCCAAAACCGTGCTATTTACAGCATGTTTCACAAGTGTTCATGCCATGTTGCGAACATGCCCAAAACCCTGCTAGTTACAGCGTTTTTGCCTCTTTATATACAACGTGCGTTTCAGTGAGTGCATCTACGGCTGGGTCTGGCGCTCGCATCCGGATCCCAAAGCAGACGTCGCGGATCACTTGGGGAAATTGCGCTAAAATGAGTGCCCTAAGTTGGAGTCCTTGGATTTGCTTAAGCACAGATCCCTCCATTTCCAGAGCCACACACACGAAGTCATGTAATTTACAGCACTTGCTGTGTATGCCCTGAAAACATACAGGCCCGCCGCCGCCACACGCCCAGATATCAATGTGGGACCACCTGAGCAGATCGCAGTCTGGGTGGTAGGGGTGGGTTTGGAAGCGAGGAGCCGGTTTGTGTCGGCTGGTGCGTTTCACCAGCTCGCCTGGCACGAGCAGACATGTGATGGTGGATGTTGCAAAAGCTTATAACAGCGGCGGACGGTTGCATTTCCGCAGCAGCGTTTTGTGTTCAAATCTAGATCTGTTGCGCCCTCGCCATTCGAAAGAAGCATGGGGAGCTTCCGATTTGCCGTTGTCTTCGCAACTCTGTTGCGGCCCCAGCTAGCAAGTGTGCGCATTTGAACGATCGGCTTGCGACGACAGGAACACAGCATGTATTTGGTGAGTCGGGTTGAGATGATGAAGTGCATGTTTTTAGGATTCCGGCAAATGCCATGTTTTTTCGGCCCCAGCTGCTTCGTTACGGCAGTTCGCTCACAGCACATCTATTTCGAGGTTGACAGGAGGAAGAGCCACACTAATCTGAGGTTGAGGGTGTGTGTGGGCTTGAAGTCGGACGTTTTCAGGGAATGCAACACGGAGCTTCGAATTAAAACCGCATCATGTTGGGATGTGCAGAGTCTCTGAAAAGAAGTTGTCGGCGGTTCCGTCGCCCGCCACCATGCAGATCCTTCGGGGTCTGGATTGCAGTGTTAGCATGTGTTTCGAACAGACAGATAGGCCAATCCGCTACCTCAAGCCGATTCAGGTTTGGAGCCACGCCCGGTGTGGCGGTGCGCTCGAATGCCGAGACTGACAACCAGGTCAGGTCCATGGAACCGAATCCCGCGGAGGACCGTATCGGGTTCTAAGCTCAGGCATTGCACTGCAAGCCACGACAGACGCTAGGATTTCGGAGATGTCGAGATAAAAGCATCTTGACATTGAAAAGGGTGTGAAACGAGCGGCCGGAGCCGCTAACCGCCATAGGCTTCGCCTGGAGATGCGAAGCTGTCCGTAGAGTGTGTGTGTGGTCTTTCGTGATTCGGACTCGGAAAGTCGGAAACCCGACTCGGAGCCAAGCCCCGAGGCAATCCTAGAGAGAAATTGCCACCACTACACCCGCACCATGGACCTTGAGAGCAGCCTGTCCACCTTCCAAACGAAGCTCGAGGCCCCAAGCCCTGTGCCGTAGAGCCTTCATGCCAGCTTTCAGGGACTCCATGTCCTTTTGCAGGACGTCAACAAGGACGTCAAAAAAGCCTTCTGCGAGAACTTCGGCGAGATCGAGTGCCGCGGCGCCGACATTTTCGGCGTCGGAGCTGCAACGGATATTCCTACATTCCTCCAAAACCTGACGCCAACATCCGGCATGCCGGCCAACACCTCTCTAGCCCTGTCTCTTCACAACACTTGCGACAAGAAGCTGCAAGATCGGGGGCCCGAGTAACGCAAGGATTCCAAACACGCCAAGGTTTGGTCTGGCGACAGGGCGCGGAGCCTAAACCCAAAACCCTAAAATCCTAGAACCCTAAACCCTGAACCCTTAAACCCAAAAACCCGAAACCCTAGAACCCTAGTCCCTAAAAACCCTAAAACCCTAAAACCCTAAACCCCTAAAATCCCTAAAGCCCTAAAGCTCTAAAGCCCTACACCCTAGGTCCAACAGAAGCGCTCCAAGAATCGTAATCTGCTCACGAGATCCCCCGAGGGCCCGAACTCTGCGGCTCGGGCTTCTAGGCTTTTGAAGCGTTGAGGGTTTCAGGGTTTCAGGGTTTAGGGTTTCAGGGTTTCAGGGTTTCAGGGTTCAGGGTTCAGGGGTGTAGTTTAGGGTTTAGGGCTTAGGGTTTAGGGTGGGGTGGGGATGCTGCTTGACACGCATAGCCTAGGCTTTAAAGGGGCATTCGGGCTCCGTGGCCTATCCTCAGAAACGGTTTTGGAGCGGGTGGGGGCACCTCTGAGGCTTGATGCAGTGGGGTTTCACTGCAAGTTGAATCTTGTGCCTCGGCGCCAGCAGGTACAAAGTGAAAGGGAAGGAGGGAAGAATGGCTCACCCGTGTTGCACGGAGGCCGAGACGTGTTTCGGAAAGGACGCGCCGAGGGGTGGGGGCGGGGTGGGGAGAAGTTGAGTCTGCGGTTGCAGCCGCAGGGCAGTAGCACCGGCAGGAAGGCTTTCCCCGTTTCCTTTAAAAAATCCCAAATCAGGTGCGGCGAAACTCAAAAGATGTTGGCGCCACAGACTCATCGGGCCAGGAGCAGATTGGGAAGTGCCAGGTCCAGTGCACCGTGGAGGCGGCCGAGAGTCGACACTCGGGCCTAGGGCTTGTGCCGCTACTTTTCTTTTGCCTTTGGCCCTTTTTGGGTTTTTTCAGTTTCAGGCTGGGATCGGACCTTGGGACTGGGTTTCGATTTCGGAGAGCGGGTGGCCCAGGCTTGAAATGCGATGCCTCCAAGACCGAAACCACGAAGCCCTAAGACCGTCAACCCGAGAAATGCCCCGACCCCTTGGGGCTTTTTTTTTTCCCGCCTCATGTAAAGGCTCCCGGGCTGAGGGCCCCCCCTCGTCCTGGGAAGTCGGAGAAGTTCGACCTCCCAAAAAATCTCTGTTCACGAGCTCTTGGAGCGCTGTGTGCAGAGGCTCTGGCAGGCATCGCCTCTCGCGGGCTGAAGTCGCACGAGCGGTTCTGGGCGCACCCTGGCCGCGGTTGATTTTCCCTAGGCCGTGGGGGATTGTTCCTTTATAGCCGTCCGGCTTCAAGTTTCGCCCGCAGCACCACGCCTCGACCTGAAGCATCCGGCTCCGACAAAGCACAGCCAGACGCAGACCGTGGCCGAAGAAGCCCACGGAGACGGTTGGTTCACGGTTTAAGTCCAGACTTTGCCTCGGCAAAGACCCTGCCCATGTACCTTCCGCCGTGCACCTGCTTCTCTCCAGACCTCTACTTCGATCGTTTAGTCACTCCACGCCTGTGGCCCGCGCGAGGCCTGAGACCTGCGTCAAGCCGCCAGTCGAGTCAAAAGAGAGACTCGGACGAACATCCTTGGTTTGGAAGAAGAGGGTGCTTGGGCCATCGTGGCGTGCTTCGGGTTTCGCCCGAAAAACCCCTTTACAGGTAGAGGGGCTGGTATGGCTACCACAGGTCGGAGTCTGTGTGAGGTTCGCTTCTTTCCTCTTGCACTGAGTTTTCAGAGTCGCTGCACGCTGCGAGCTTTGAGGCCCACACCGCAAAACCCGAACTGGTAGGGCTCCATCCTTGCAGGGGCTGCGTTCCATAAATTATGTTCATGATCATGATCATTGTCATGATCATTATCATTGTTTTTGTTGTTGTTCGTCTTCTTCTTATTGTTCTCGTTATTGTTCTCTTATACTTATTATGATCATGTTCATGTTTCCTCCTGCTTCTTATTCTTATCATCATGGTTATCATCAACGGAAGGCAATTCACAGCCCGCGATCCGAGGAAGGAACTGGTGGCGCAGCAAACGAACGCCGCGAAAGAGGACGTCGTGGTGGTTGCGGGCGAGAACTACTTTCCTGACTTTGTGACTCGGATGCCTCCAAGCTGGCGCAGAACAGATCCAGCTTGCTTTTCTCCCGTTGCGGCACGTGGAGTTCGGATTGTAGGGCATTGTAGGAGGGTGTTTGGGCGCCATAGGGATCAAGAGATACCTCGAAGATCTGGCTGAATCAACTGCTCTGAACCTCACTTGAACGAAAGCTGAGGTCAGGCAGAACGGAAGGCTCGACATGCCGGTTTTAGATGCCCACTTGACCGAGAGGCTGCGCGTGAAGTGCTACTAGCCCCCGGCGGGAGTTCGTCCCATGTTGCATTCCCGCAGCCGCGGGAACGGCGGCAGACGGCCGTACCCTGGCCCTGAATGCACCGCTCGGAGGAAAAAGCGTGCCATTGAGGAGGGAAGGAGCAATGCTGCAGTATAAGCAGAGACGACTCGAGTAAGGATAATTGCCGTGTTAGTAGGAAAGGCTCGCAAAATTTCGTGTCAAAAGTAGCTTGTAACAAGAGCATCGCCCCGCGGAATCACGATAACCTTGTCATTTGGCCTTCGGCTGCGTCGTAGGTCGTAGGTATGGGCACATAAATACCATAAGCTTCAAGCCTTCGGCCGACGGCTTTAAAAGAAGTTGGATTAAGTTGCCCGTTCTCGGAATCCGTGCGCCTTGTACCTCGACGGATGTGTGTTCGGCAGCCATGGCTCGAACATCAGGCTTGGTCACAGATGTGCAAGATCTATGCAAATTTTCTAATGTTTGCGTCCGCATTCGTAGATGCACGCTGTGCAGATTTTTGTTGCCAATCTTGCTTCTCTTTGTCCATGAGCGATTGGGCTCATGAGTTCCGGTTGGTTGAGGCCTGGCTGTCGAACCACATGTCATCGTTCTTTTCCTTCCGATTCGAAGCAGGTACAGTGGCAGCAGTTTTCTTAGACAGCGGCTGGCCTTGTCGGTGGTGAGCGGAAAACCGATCGTCATTGCCGACATACGGGCGAAGGCCCCCGGAGGGATAAGCCTTACGGCGCCTTACGGCTTGATGGGGCTTAAAGAGGGCGACCCTAGATCGTCTCAAGTGTCAAACTCTAGAACCGTCACGACTTCAAAACGCCTGTGAAAAGCTTGGGATTGTGTGGTGATCTTAGGGCTGAGGGTTTCGCTTAGTTTTCACATCCTTGATGACCAGATAGATTTTGTTGCAAAAAACAGACCACAAAGCGCAGCTGACTGCCATTCCCTACCGCTTCGCAAGTCGTTGTGTTGTGATGCTTGTCACATGTTGCCTGTTCTTTGCTAGCCGTTAGTAATGATTTGAACTGGTCCTGGTTTTCTTAACTGATTGTGAGCTATCATTGTCAGTACTGTCATCTACACCTCGTTGTAAGTTTCCGCTTCCTCCTCCTTCCATGCTAGACAAGACCCAACCTCCCCAGAACGCGTCGTCGAAACATTTCGGATGCCGAAGATCCCCACTTCCCACTCCCCCAAACAAATGCATGTAGTTTATTACGGCATATGATATGGGAACACTCTTTTCCTTTAAAATCTTGAGTCTCTGGATTCTCAGCCATGGCTTTGTGTGCAAGCGAACCGAATGGTTGGAAGTTTGAATGAGTTCCACTCCAGACCCTAGATGTTAAACCGAGACACAGAAAACTGGACGCTCCATATTCAGCCACGCGCGTCAAAACCCTAAACCCTAGACCTTAAAGCCCGAAACCCTAAACCCCAAGACGCGGGACCCCACACCCCAAACCCTCAAGCCCTGAAGGCCTAAACCCTACCCTACACCTTAAAATCCCAAGCCCTTAAGCTCCCGCACTCCAGGATGAGGAGCCTGGATTGCGAGATTACGAGGCACCTATCTTCCGCCCAGCGAAAGCACAAAAAGCCAGGTTTCTGGTTGTTGGTGTTGGGTGTAGGTGTTGGGCGCGTTTTAGGAGTTGGAGGTTTTGGGGCGAGGCCAGAATCACCCCCAAAAACCACCGAGGAACGCAACGAACTCCTTCCCCAGAGCCTTTGGAGCATCCCGCGAAGCAGCAATCGGACCCCTGAAGCCCCACACCGATCCTGAACCCCAAAACCCCAGTCCCATCTATGGCCTTCACGCTTGTTGCGCTCAAGGGTATGGTATCTAAGCTTGGGGACTCGGGCGAGCACGGGTGACCAAATGTTCTTTTAGGAGTTTCGCCCGGGATTTGTGCTTGAGGCTTCATGGTTTCTCACGGTTGCACGGAGGCTTCGTTCCTCAGACTGCTGGACAAGATCTGTGACGGCCACCTGTCTCTTGAGCTTTGCCCTCCTTGGGATCGAAGGCCCCCACGACCCCGAAGCCAAGCGAGGCTCCCCTGGTCTTTGAGCGGCGGTGCACAGATTGGCCCTTTCTTCTAACTTTCACCTTACTTGTCCCCGGGTTCAGAATCGACACCGACAGCTGCAAAAAAGCCTTTTCGGGGAGTTGCGCAGCAGAACCAGGATCTGACATCAGCATCGATGAGACGGGAACCACTCTGAGGTGGGTCACTTGGGGGGCTCTCAACCCTAAACCCCGACCCTTATGTGAATCTGAAATAGGTAGGATCCCTTATCAGGATCACGCCGCGAGATGACGAACCCGGTCTGGCGCCTCACTGCCCGAAGCCCACCCATAAAGTAAGAGCAAGCGCCCCCGAAACCCAAACTTTCGCTTGCGGAAGCCGCCAAACTCCGCAAAGCCGCGCACCTCTCACATAAGCCCGATTTCATCCTTATATAGCCTAAAAGCGCTTTGAAACTGTCCTTGGAGAAACCTTCTCACAGAAGCCTTGTATAACGCTGTATAGAATGTATAGATAACACTGCATAGAGCCTTCAAGAAACCCGCAAGCCCTAAGCCTTCCGAGCAGGTACAAACCTGGGCAGATAGTCGGAGGAAGCGGGCTGGCACCTTTCTGAGAGTCCGGTTTAGGGTTTAGAGTTAGGGATAGCTATGGGGTAGTGGAAGGAGGCCGGATGATCTCAGGTTCGGGCTTTGAGTTTCAGTTTGAGGAAAGCTTCGTGTGTAAGTTTGTAGGATCTAGAGCTGGCGTGTTTACAGGTTTAGACCGGTTTAGAGTTTAGTTTATGAGCTTTCGGAACCATGCTGTCGAGCCTTTGTTTGGAAGATCGGTGCAAGCACCTTATGCGCATGACCCCGACGAAAGGAACGATTGCTTCTCGATGAAGCCTTGAACCTACCTAGAGTACCTTAACAGGTAAATGTACCAATTTCTTAGAGTCATATCCCCTAAACCGTAAACCCGAAACCCTAAACTCTGAACCCTAAAAGAATCCTAAATGCGTTCAGCTGCCCTAGGGCCCTAGGGACGACCATCCTAAGGACCCTGATTCAAGTAGACATTAAGCCTCGGCCTTGAACCGCCCTAAACCCCAAGCAGCCTAAACCTCAAACCCTAACTCCCTAGCCTATATCATGTAATACAATATAATGTAATATCATCTAATATAATAGCATATAATGTTAAGCAATATTATAGTTGTTAAATTCGATTATCTGAGGTTCACAGCTGCCCTTCCAGCCGATGCCTGACCTACTTCCTCGAGGTCAGGGCACTGGACGTGGCGGGGTGGTCATGATGACAACTGCTAGTATTTCCTTGGTTTAGGGTTTCTGGATTGTTCTTCTGAGTCGTTTACGGCCGCTACTGCTACCAGCACTGCTGCTGCTGCTGCTGCTGCTGCTGCTATTGTTCTTACTCCCTCAGCCGGGAAGCTGTAGCTGCTTGTTTCCCCTGCTTTTTTGGGTTATCGGAGGCTTCGGGGTTTAGGGTCCAGGATTGCTGCGCTTGGCCGTGAGAAAAAATGAGTGGCTCGCTGACGTTGGACAAGTGGCACGTGTTGCCATGGTTTCCAGCAGGTGTTATGGCTAGACCCACTACCCTCCATGAACTCTAAACCCTAGACCCTAAACCATATTCTCTGAACTCCCAACTTTCGACCGTTTATAGGAAGCTCAAAGGACTGCTCACGAGCCTCAATGCCCTGTAACATCGACCACGGGTCCTTGCTTTGGGTGCAATCCCGAACGGCCCCAAGCCTTGACCCGAACTCTGAGCTCCACACTTCCCCTAAACCCCTAAAGCCCTAAAGCCCTAAAGCCCTAAAACCCCATAAACCCTAAGCCCTAAACCTTAAAGGGACTGCTGTTGATCGCTCCCTTGGCCAAGCAGCCCCTGACGGCGGCAGCCCCAGAGACGCTCTGAAGCGAGTGCTAGCAGAGGGTCCCTGTTTAGGGTTCCTTAAAGGGATCTATAAGCGTCTCTATAGTCTTCGGGTTGCTTAAAGGGATCTATAAGGGT